AGCGAAGCGGTGAAGAGGCAGAGTAGGGGCCCAGTGTATGGGAAGTCTGAGGGGAGAGGGCTGTGAGCCCTCAGGTGGGAGGTGCAGGTGGATTACAGGACTGGTTGGCTATAAAGCTCCATGGTTCTGCTGCTCCTCATAGCTCTTCTCCAGCTCACAAGGCTCCTCTGCAGGACTGCAGCCGGTGGGACTGCAGCCGGTGATTAAACACAACTTTGGCATCGGCACGCTGAAGGTAGGGAAAAAGCCGGTTGATGGGAGTGCTGGCTTCCAGGGTCTCTGAAGCAGGGAGAGTGGACACCTGGAGTAAAGCCAGAGAAAAGGAGATGGTGGGAACAGGCAGGTCAGTTCTGGGTCCACCACCTTAAAGTTGCTCTGCCAGGCTGGAGGTTCCTGGGCGAAGATTGTGCATAGCCTCCTCGGACACAGGGGCAAGTATGGGGACTGAGGACCACTGGGGCTCTGCCCCTCTGCTGTGCAGTCTGCATGTGCGCAACCTCCTCCATCACTCTCAGCTTCTCCCCTCTGCAAAATCCTAAAGGGAGCTGCAAACCCCCTTTGGAATGAACCTTCATGCCAGCAGGGCTAGAGCCCAAACCACAGTCATGCTAATGAGGCAAAGCTAATGCCCACCCACTGCCTTGAGGAGGTTGTGTACATGCCAGAGAGACCCAGCAACGGTAATGAGACTGCTCGCTTGGCACAGGCTGGGATGAGGAGGCAGTGGCAGCTGCTGCCCAACTTAGCTCCGCCGCCCAGCTCGGAGGGAAAAGATTCCTTCTGACTAATCTTGAGACAAGTGTAATTAGCAGGTCTGTGGTGGGGGCTGTGGGCGGCAGTCATGGTTGTCCCCTGTCCCCGGCTGCGTGGGCTGTACTGCGAGTTGGTGGGGAAGGGGTGGGCAGAGCTGGCTGTCAGTACAGGCTGGGGTGCTCCTGCAATCAAGGGCCGAGCAAAAAGCCTGGCAGCAAAATTCCCCGTGCCCAAGTCGGTCTCTTCCAGGAGTGTTCAAAGAACCGGGCCATGGGAGGGGTTTGGGCTGGTAGCCTGGAGATAAGCAGATGATGTCCAGCTGATGGCAAGGCTGCAAACAAGTGTGGGCCTGGCACACACGTCTCTGAACGCTCTGTCAGGGCTTGGCCAAAAGCCTCTTTCAGTTCATCACATTTTGCGGGTTCCTGGTTCTTTCCTACAACATGTCAGGGTTTAATACCCCACTGCCTTCCTGGTGCTGCATGAACATGAAAAAATAAAGGCTGGTCCCGCTCTGGGTTTAATTCAAAAGTCTGTTAAGCACCCATGTTATTTTCAGCATCTGGACCTGTGTGTGTCAGCATGTGTTTAGGTGCTTCCCTGGACAGGGATCTAAGAGAAAGACCAAGGTCATTTGGTTTCTGGAAAACCAAAGGGCTTTTTAGTGTGGGGTATAAGGCAGTAAGCGGCAGCAACACAATCATTTGTAATCACCTGCCCACACTGCTATTTAACCAGACTGAGATAACAAATTGATGCTTATGTTTGCAAGCAACCCTCTTGAAAATATTTTTATTTATATCATATTTCAGTCTTGCTGCACCAGGGCAGGTTTAAGGTTGGACATTGGGAACAATTCCTTCCCCAACAGGGCTGTCAAGCACTGGAAGGGGCTGCCCAGGGAAGGGGTCGAGTCCCCATCCCTGGGGGGATTTAAAAGCTGGGCAGATGAGGTGCTTAGGGCCAAGGTTTAATGGTGGGATGGCAGGGTTAGGGTAAAGGTTGGACTTGATGAGCTTAAAGGGCTTTTCCAATGTAAACAATTCTGTGATTCTGTGATTCTATGATCCAGAAACGTCTTCTGTTAAATCAGAGAAATTCTGAGCATGCGTGTGCATGTAATAGAACCTTAGAACCTTTTCAGAAGTAACTCAGGAACCAAGGGTTCATCTTCCCAAGGTCCCTCAGTAATTGCCATTTTAAAAAAAAAAAGTTCTGGTCCAGAATTTATTTTTGTACCTAAAAGCCAACTAGAACACTGTGATCAACTCTATAGGGAAAAAAGCAACAGGAAATTGTGATTGACCTGAATGAAAACCAAAAAAAGTATTGGATAAACACTAATTTCAAATGGGAAATCCAAATAATTTCAGCATGAAATAATCAGACCTCTCAGTTTTATATTGGGGAGAAGTCTTCCTCTGAAAATGAAAACATGGTGAAATTTGCCTGCATTTTTAAAGCTTCTGGAGGTCACAAAGTCAGTCCTAACACAGCCCAGGGCGGGAATGCTGAGTAAAGCTGCTGCCCAGTTCTCTGCGGGGGCCTGGATCCAGCCCAGAGGAGGTTTATCTCCCCAGTAAATTCAGGTTTAGGACCTTCTCCCCAAACTGCCAAACACCTTTCCTTGCACATACCTCTTCCCTCATCTTCCTTTCCACCATCAGCAACCAGGTAGCCCAAAACACATGCTGGTTTTGTGCATTTGGGAATAGCCATGCTGGTTTGAGGGGCCGGGGGCTCTGCACTCAAACTGTTGTCCCAGTTTTGCCTTCATGCAGACTTCTCTGAATCCAGACTCATCCCAGTGAAATGGGAGCTGGGAGCTACAGCTGGGTGAGTAAGAGTTAGGAAGCAAAGCCGCATTCATACAAGATTTTAATTTTCAACTGTCTTTACCTCTATAATATGAAATGGGGCCTCCACAGATCCCACACAACAGGGCAAGGGAGGACAGGAGGAGCAGAGCATGCAGAATTTGGCCCTCAATTGCATATTGGTATCCATGACAACCTCTCATTTCTCCCTGCTCACAGTAATTGCTGAAACTCTCCTCCTGCACCAGCACACCTCTTTCTGGGTCTGCACCCCCTTGCTGGGGGTCTACAGGAGTCAAGGGACTGTGGAGTGTCTGTAGTGAATCCATGCATGATGAGCCAGGGATAGCACAGAGATGTGACGCTCACAAGGACAAGAAACTTTCCATGTAGTGCCAAGGTTGTGAGCATCACTGCCCTCAGTGCTCTGGCATCAGTCACTCCATCCCTGCATCTTCCTTGGGCCCCGGAGGCACCCCCGGTACCCCTGAGCCCCAAGTGCAGAGCAGCCAGCAGGCATGGACCTGCTTGGACCATGCTTGCCCTCAGCAAGCAGCCGCATCCCCCATGCATTTTAAAATCATCAGCTCATAGCTGCCCTCACAAGCGCGGCGCAACTCCACAACGCAGGGGGAGCCAACCTGGTGTCGAACAGCATCGATCCCCTCAGTGAATCCATCCCACGAGGGCCACCCTGCGCTGCAGTGCTAAGGCTGTGCTGTTTTCCAACACGGAGCTCTGCAGGCTCACAGGCCCACTGGTTTTAATGACAGGAGGAAATTTCTTCTGCACAACAGAAGCGAGTGGGATCCTTTGAAGCCCAGCTCCCTTCCCCAGTCAACACCAGCAGGACCACTGGGCTCATGTGATGTCTCATTAGGTAGCTCTCCTGGGCACAGGATGCGTCCTGGGGAGGCTACACGTCGGCTCCAATAATGAGGCAAATTGCATCCCAAACCCCTTTGAGGTGGCGGCTCATGCCAGTAAGACCAAGCTTGCGGAGAAACATTAAAGACCCCCCATCTAGCTCACAGCCCTCCTTCCCTGGGATGAGGTCAATTTGAAGGCAGAAAATGAAGGTCTGGCTTTTGATTAGCATGTGGCGCTGCCTGGAAAAGCAAAGGCATGGTGGGCGGGTGTAGGAGCGAAGGGCAGTGCGTTTGGTGTGTCTGCAGCCATCAGTGACAAGCTTGTTGTTCTCTAGTTGCACAGAGGACCCCGAGAGAGGAAAGGGGGTTTTGCAGGATTGCAAGCAGAGCCTTTCTCAGCCTTTCTTGCAGGCTGCCAGGCTTGAGGAAGGGGTTGTCACCAAACAGTAAACTAGGCCAGGGAAAGGCCTGGAGCCAGGTGAGAGCTTCACAGTGCCACAAGCAACACCAAATTTTGCCATGCTGTGAAGGATGACTGTGGCCAGAATCGTCTGGTCTTCAGTGTGAGGAGTTGGCTGTTCTTGCTGCTGG